CTATAAGGATGCAGATGACACGGATTAGCACATACCCCAAGCAAAACACAACAACATACACCACGTACTCTTTCTGAGAAGCCCTCCGATGAATCGCCGATCCCTTCCACAGCCAAACCGAAAAAGAAAGACACTCGATAAAGATATAAAGGCCTTGGAAAGTAATGTCGACACTTTGCGAGCGGGGCGTTGCAAGCGGAAACGACCTAGGATGGGCCGAAGGGGAAGGATGCACGGGCACCCTTGGGACGAATCGCTCACCCTTCTTATGCTGGCTGGCTGTAAGAGGCCTCCTGCATTAGAAAAAGGAGGGCGACGAACACGAGGGCGCACCAAGCGAGCCGAAACTGGAGGAGGAGGAGGCGGCGGAGGAGGAAGAGGGGGAGGAGGAGGAGGAGGAGGAGGAGGACGAAGAGGAGGATGAGGAGAAGGATAAGTAGGAGGATGTGGAGGAGGACGAGGAGGAGGAAGAGGAGGCGGAGGAGCAGGAGGAGAAGGGGGCGGGGGAGGAAGGGGACGAGGAGGAGGAGGAGGAAAAGGAGGAGGAGGAGGAGGAAGAGGCGGAGGAGGAGGACGAGGAGGAGGAGGAAGAGGGGGAGGAGGAGGAGGAGGGGGAGGACGAGGAGGAGAAGGAGGAGAAGGAGGAGGAGGAGGAGGGGGGCGACGATTACGAGAACGCGCCGGTCAGCGCCGCCCTGCCCCGCCCGTGTCGATGTCCCAGACGCCCACGCGGCCGTCGGAGCCGGCGCTGACGAGGTGCCGCACCTCGCCACATCACCGTGACGAAAGATTATTTCAATCTGCTTTCGCCAATAGCGCGTCAGCGCGGAGTAGTTCGGAGCAGGGATACTCAAACTACTCCGCGAGTGGGCGCATCCCGCTCGACAATTCATAGGGTTTGGCGCGCAGCTGTTTCCGATCTGGTGTTGGGGTAACCGAGCTACAAGCATCAGGCGGATCGGAAACTACTCCGCCGAATGACGCAGTCATAATGTCATGTTAGGAATCTCGAGGGGGATGGGAGAGATCATCATCATAGCAGATTGAAGAAACTGTTGTCACGGCTGTGCAGAGGCCTCCTTGATGGGGTTCGAGTAGGTGGGGTCGAAGGATCGCGCCGCATCGCCAATACATCGGCGATGCATCGGCGACGTCGGCGACTCATCGGCGACGTCGGCGTGGAGAGAATCGGGCTCCGCATCGAGCCGCATCGCCGATGCATCGGCGATGCGTCGCGATCCTCCGACCTCGCCTACTCGGACCCAATCTAGGAGGCCTGGAGAGGCCTAGACTCGCGCGCTCGCGCGCGGGCTCCGAACGCCGGCGCAGACCAGCGCTCGCCGACCGCAGGCCTTCGCAGGTCGTCGCTCGAAAGTCGAGGAACCGAGATCGAGGACCGATTCTCGCGCTTCAAGGATCGATGATCTGGGTTGAAGGATCGAGGATCGAGATCGATCTCGAGAGGATTGGGTTCAATGATCCGGGTTGAAGGACCGATTCTCGCGCTTCGAGTTCGAGGATCCAGGATCGAGGTACGCACGAAGAGTCGAGGATCGAGGCTCGAAGATGCGGAGTGCAACTTGGTCCCTCTCTGGACCTCCGTGGGGGCCTCTCCGGAAGCCTCTTGGGGCCTCCACGAGGCTCGGGTCCAAAAGCCTCGCACCAAGCCGCTGCACACGCACGACCGCAATTTAGTCTGGGGGCGCGCATCAAGAAACCATACGTTTTTCGTCAGGGCATCCTGGGTTTATCGGCTCCGCGCGCTGCGCGGCGACTTCCCGCGGCCATTGAAGGAGCTGCTGCGTTCAGGGTGCTCCGGGCTTCCCCTGCGGTGCACCTGGCGCGCGGGTTTTCCGGGTTGGGTTTCTTGCAGGGGTTTCTTGCGGTCGCGCCCAAACTGTAGGGCTCTTCGAACCGCAAAGCATGTACATCTCCAACGCGGGCTGCCCACGACCGCTGGCACAAACCTTGGCTCGACCCTCGATGATGGCTGATATCTCGACATTTTGATTCAGGCCGTCGGCAGCCTTGGTGCTGGGTCTGCCGCGTGGCTTCCTGTCCACAAGCGAAGCCATTGTCAGAGGGGCCGGGCGACAGTATAGACTGACGCGCAATGATCTTGACCAGGGCAGCTCAGTGGCTTGCGCTTGCATCGCCTCGCGCCCGAACGAAGTAGCAACCCACGGGTCAGTTGTTGCAGAGACAGGCCAACGCCACTACACCCTAAACCTCTCCCGCGGTGCGTTCTGATGAGACACTGAAGCGGTTCCAGCCGCGAAGACAAGTGTAGCGTAACAAAAAACAAGTAAACGGCATCTGTATCGGCTTGTTCCCAACCGTACTGTGTGGACTTGGGTCCTCGCTTTGAATTCGCAAAGGACTGCGCGCCAAAGTTCTGGTCCTCTGTTTCGTCCTCGTCCTCTTCCTGCACTTCCGCCTCCTCCTCATATTCGTCCTCCTCCTCCTCCTCTTCCTCCTCCTCCTCCCCATCGTCATCATAATCATCATCATCATCATCATCATCATCATCATCATCATCATCATCATCATCATCATCATCATCATCAACATCGACATCGACATCGACAACAACAACATCCTCACCCACATACTCATCGACATCCCCATTCAGAATCAGTACCACCATCCAACGCATGATCATCAAAAACATAATCGTTATCATTCCCTTCTCATATCACCATCATCATAGTCATCACCACCACCACCATCATCATCATCATCATCATCATCATCATCATCATCATCTCCAACATCATCCGCATCATCACCAACAGCATCACCATCAACCCGCTCATACTCACTATCATCTCCAACATCGTCATAACCAACCACAACATCAGCATCATCACCACCACCATCAACATCACCAGAAACACCATCATCATCACAATCAACACCATCACCATTTGCATCACACTCACCATCGTCACCATCATCATCGTCATCGCCGGCATCATCATCACAATGGTTAACAGCATCATTACCACCACCGCCATCATCAACCGCACCATCGACATAAGCATCAGCAGCGTCATCATCATGTTCATACGCATCATCATTATCATCTGCATCATCCTCGCCTTCATCATCATAATCACCATAGTCATCGTCATGATCATGATTCTGATCGGGACCATGATTCTGAACAGCATCGACATCATCATCAACATCACCATCAATAGTCACCATCACCATTGGAAGCATCAGTATGATAAAAAAATAATATTCGCCCATTCAGCGCCTCCCACCCTGCTGACGGCGAGTAGCAGGGACAAAGACGAGGGGGACTGGAGAAGGGCGACCAAACAATGGTCAAGGCATTCATTTTCCAGAGCATCTGGCTGCCCCAGCTTAAAAAGGTGCTCGGAAGACTGGTCCAGCGCGCGCATCGCACCCTGTCTTTGCCACCCCCCTAAGGGCGGGTGTGGGGGGTCGCAAAACTCCGTGAGCCGCAGGGGCCGCGGGAGACACATGCTATCGGGGACCGCAGGGGCGCCCTTGCAATCTCCCCCTCTGAGAACCTCATTGGCTCGACGCAACAACGTTTATAAACCGAGCTTCGCCCACTCAGCGCCTCCAACCCTGCTGATGGCAAAGAATAGGGATGCAATAGGGACAAAGACGAAGGAAACAGGATAAAAACGATCACGCAATAGTCAACGCACTCATGTTCCAGAGCAGCCGGCCGCGCGAGCTGAAAAGGTGCTTGGAGGACTGGTCCAACGCGCGCAACGCGCCCAGTCTTTGCCGCGCAGCGCGCCCAGTCTGCGCCAACCCCCAAATCAACAACTGGACCCACGCACGTTGCACTGGCAGGTCAATCGCGGGTGGGTTGGGAGGGGCGAAGCGGCGACGGCATACGCCCAGCAAACAAGGGACAACATTGGGCTCAACAAGGAGTGGATGGCTTATGTTCAGTCACTAGGCTTGACGAGCGGACCTCCCCAGGGCGGTCTCGAGCTCGCCTGCGAGGGTCGGGCTCAAGCGGGGGTTCCTGGCCAGGAAAGGCTGGGAAAGCTTGGAGCGGGCTCGCAGCAGCGCGCCCGCTTTTCATACCAGCTTGCGCACTCGCGGGCCTTCCAGCGCCCGCGGCGCTGGATCCCTCGGAGGTCCTCGAACTTCTCCAGCGCGCCACGCTTCGCGCCTCCGTGCCGAAGACAGCGGGGCGCTCAGGGGGCCGCGAGCTGTCGGCGCCGGCAGGCCAAGTTAACGACGGTCTCGAGCTTCGCCAGGGCGAGGCCCTCGAAGAGCGGCCTCTCTTGGACGGGATCGGCTGCGTCGCCGGCGCCGCCGTCGTTGCCCAGGGCCCCGCTGGGCCCGCGCGCGTGGCCGCAGGACGTCGACGCCCCGAAGGCCCCGCACCGCGGGCGGCCGGAAGTAGCTGTCGAACACGATCGGTAGCAGCGCCCCCGCCAACGTCGACTAGCAGTCGCGGCCCATGAAGTCGCCCGCCACTGCCAGGTCCCAGCGCCGCCGGCAGCCGAGCCGCGGCAGCCGGTGCCTGAGCGGGCAGCGGGGGGCGCCGATGCCGGCGGCGTCGCGGCGGCGCGCGGCCGCCATCTGCCGCTCCCAGCGGCGCGCGAGCTCGGACTCGCCGTCTGAGCGCGCTCCTGCCGGGGGAGCCAGAGGCCAGGCGGGTCTTCCGCTCCCGGCGGCCCATCACGCAGACCTTCCCCTGTCGCAGCGGCGCTGGCACCTGCAGTCGCGGCCCAGCGTGGTGAAGATCGGTGGGGCACGGCCAGCCTCGTCGGCTTCTGGAACGGCGCCCCGAAGCGGCGCTGGAACAGGTCGACCGGCGCCACCGACGCCGCCGGCAGCGCTCTCGCCAGGGGGCCCCAGCTCCAGGGGCGCGGCCGCGTCGGGTTCTCGAGCGCGAAATGAGCGCCAGCCCGCCGGCGCTTCCGAATCGGCCGCGCCGTGGAGCAGCCCCCCGACTGGTTCGGCGACGCCGGAGGAGCGCGCCATCGACCACCGCGCGCAGGGGGTCGCGAGATGCACGAGCCAAACAGCTCCGGAACGGATCCATCCGCCGACGACCTTCTGCGCCCTCGGGCCCGCGACATTGAAGCGCGCGAGCCATGCTTCAGGTCCAGCGGGGCCCCCGCGCGGAGCCCGGCCTCCAAGGTCGCCCTTGTCAGGTGACCGTCGCTGGAAAGAGAAGACCTCCAGAAAGAGGCGGCGGACCCGACGAGACCCTCGGCCAGCGCGCCCTCTAAGGCTTGGGAGAGGCGGTGGGGGGCCTGGCCAGGTGGTAGACGAAGCCCAAGTGGATGTCCTCGGGCCTGCCGAGCTGGCGGAGGCCCAGCTGTACTTACCCTTGCAGAGCCCCAAGATCCCGAGCAGGTAGACGGAGTCTCCAGAGACCTGGCGCAATGCGTGGAGGGCGCTTGTGGAGTCCGCTCGGGGCGCTGGGCGCCGACTGGGCGCCCCCTGAGCTCACCCTTTTGTGAACGGATGTTTTGGCGGGCGCCCGGGCGGCAGGCGCCCGCGCGGCCCGCGCCAGACCTGGCCTGGGCGCAGTGGCCCACGGTCCGCCGCGCGGCGCATGCTGTCTGCGGCGTTCCGCGCGCCTCGACGCGGCGCTGCCGCCGCGCGATGCCAAGGGCCAGCTGCAACGCAGCCGCCCGCCGGCACTGGGCGAGGAGCTCCCCGATGGCGGCGCGGCCCTTCTCGGAAGCCAGGACCGAGCCCACATGGTGTCCTCCGCGGAGAGCAGCTTGGCCTCGCGGCGCGGCTGGTGGCCA